CTCCTTCATTCGCTACATCCTTTTTGTCCCATCGCCCACTTAGCTGGCACACAACAAGTGCATAATACATGCTTATTAAAGGAACAGAGAACTTTAGTCATTTCTCACCTGGACATCTGAAATAGCCTCCTAACATTTTTTCTTTAACAGTGCTTACAGAAATTACTTTTCTTCTTCCTTTCGTTATCTTTTGAAGAAATGAAACAAAGTATCCTAGGTAGTTACATTTTAGAGTTGCCATGTAAGAAAACAATCCCTAAACAACTTCTAAACACAATCACTCAGCACGTTTTCCCAAACTAAATGCATGTTTACATTTTAACATTATTACGTTCAGCAGAAGAAAATGCAAACTGCTGGATAGGTGTGTGGTTTTTGTGTACATTTTTTTACCTTGAACAATTTAATGATTTTGTAAAGTATGACCTCTAGGACAGTTTTATTCAAGCAAGAGTCTCTGGCAATCTGATTACCTGATTGTGACTGATCCTGTTATCTACCCAATAACTATTCTTCCCTCTTCCCCTAGAACACAACACTGAGCATCGTGACCCACTGGAAAATTCCATTCAGCTTCCCTTGCAGCTGGGAGCCAATGCAAAATAAACATCAGTTTTTGTTTGGTGCTTTCTACAAAACCTGTTTGTCTCTCACCCTCACATTTTTCCCTACCTAGAACTCCTATGTGATGGCTGGCACCCAAGCAACCACGTTGTGACTTTACGCATGTCATACACCCAGGATGGTGAAGCAGAAAGGCACAAGGAACCAACACCCCTTGTGACTGTGTGTGTGCAGCAGGCACAGCTGACCCTGACCACCTCCACACTAGTTTTACAGGAGTGAGAACAACTGTACTGTGTGCAAGCCTCCATTATTTCCCTCCCAGTTTCTAGATCATTAATGCTGTGTTCACACACCCATTCGATTTAGCTGAGATAGGAATGGAGAGACCTAAACTGCTTAGCCTTCTGGTATATCTACTCTTGCTTTCCGGCAAATTTATCCAACTATCAAGGTTTCGACTATTATCTCTGAACTCAAGATTTCCAAGTCTGATTTTTCCCACATCTGACCTCAAAATTTCTATGTACCTTTAAAACAAGTCCAACTGGACGTCCCACAATTACTTCCAAATTAGAATACCTTCTCTTATTGTACTGACCCTCCTTCTCAATTACCTTTTAACAGATTTCCTCAGTCGGTCAGTTTCAATATTACCCAGGAGAGTTGCTCAAAATGTTTCCCCAGCACCAGAATATCCTAGGGGCGGGGGTGGGGGTGCTCATTACCAATGCCGATTCCCAGGGCAGCACGGATTTATTCAGCAGAATCTTCGTGAGCCAGCACAGGAAACTGCATTTTAATGAGATACTTGGTATCTTATTAAAATTAGAATTTCAAATTATTGCTTAAGAATTGTTTTTTAAAAAGATCTCTCTCTCTCTCTCACATTCTATATTCACTATACAGCCAAGTCCTATAACATCCTCCTATTCTCCCCCTCACCGTCCCTTTAGCACTCCAGACTCTGTCCTGCCTTGGGGCCTTTGCTCTGGCCGTACCCTCTGCCTGGATCAGCCTCGCCCTAATTCTCCACCAGCCTGGCCCCCCCACCTCCTTCGTGTCAACACTGCCACTAGGGCTAGCCTAACCACCTTAATTCAAATTGCAATCCACCCACCAACCTCACACACCTTACTTTCCCTTTATTTCCCCCCTAGCACTCACCACATAACAGATTCTATTATTTGATTATTTGCTGGTGTGCGTTTTCTGTGTCTCCTGCCTCACTAGTATGGAAGTATCTCCAGGGCGGGGTTTGATCTATTGTGATGTGTCCCAAGTCCCTGGAACAGTACTTACAGGAGTTCAATACAGAGCTGTTGAATGAGTTAATGATTTAGTAGAAATCCCTGATCCCTCCCTTCCCATTCTCACTATTCCACTGCAATACTAGTCTTGACCCTACAACGATCTTCCCTCCAAACCATGCGGCACATTCCCAGACTTAGCTGAGACACTACTTTTGGGATGTCCCTCCCTTACGGCGATTTGGCTCCCAAGTGGCCCTGTCAGATACTATATATTGGTGTTATGCTTAAGTGATAAATTCGATTAGATGAACTCTAAGATCCTGTTCAAATGGCCAATTCTGTATCCAAATGACTCATCCTGGCATTCTAAATGCTCTGTAACCTAGCGGCACACTCCCTATCCAAACTTACATCCTGCCCCTTCCAAGTTTCCCTCTGCTCCTGGCCGACGTCCTTAAGAACTCCGAAATAAGCCATGTTCACTTTCACCGTTTTTTCATGTCATTTACTCTCTACCTCCAACACCCCCCCCCCCGACTACTGACACAGATGGCAATATCCTTCAGACACTTGCTGCTCAGACCGTGCCCTGCAGGCCAGCATCATCCAGCATCACCTGTGAGCTCATCAGAAATGTAGCAACTCCAGCCCTGCCCCAGACCTCTGCACTCAGAATCTGCATTTAACAAGATCCCAGGTGACTCCTGTGGACCTTAAAATTCGAGAAGTACCGTGTGAGGGCTCATCTCAAAACATACCTCAATGACGTTCGTATTCCCTTGGCAGGTCTCATGCTCAGAAATAAGCATGCGCTAAACTCCCAATCTTCCACGGGACCTATGTCCCCCATCGCAAGCACAATGTTCAATGAACGGCATCCCCTCTTTCACTATTTATTCCCTATTTCCAAGTCCTTTCTGCTCGATTTGGTTGTAAACAGCTTACAGGCAGGGCAGTTACGGACCTGGCCAATCCCGACGCAGGGAACAGAAACCCATTCAAATCATTTCAAGCGGGGTGGAGTGGGGAAAGCTGCTTATTTTAATGGTACCTGGAAATGGGAGTAGAAAACTCAGGGAGGGAGAGAGCGCTTCAAGATCTGGCCACCTCTCTCAGCATCTGTGTCTGCCCATCCATTTCATTCTCTTTCCTATCTCTATTCACTCGTAATTTCTGCTTCCTTTTATCAGCACCCCTTCACCTCCCAGCCTATTCAGCTCTGCCCCTTTCTGCTTTGATTTTCCCTCTCAATCTCTAACTTTAATGCCTCCTGAGAGATGATCAACACCAACAATCCTTCGGAGCCAAACCACAAGGTTGCAAGTGTCTGAGTCACCTACGAATTGGCTGCCCTCGGGTCCTGAGTCCACCCTGGTCCGATCAGCTGGGCCAGGCGGGCTGCAGCTCAGAACCAGGCCCTGCAGGCCGCAGGGGCTCTCAAAGGAGAATATTCCTCAGGAAAGAAGGGAATACATTTCTCAGGAAAGAAAGGTGTGGGCAGAGCAGGCCACAAGCCACAACACCAACCCACAGAGTCATTATTTATTTTGTCTTCACCGTAGTCCTGAGCGAAATGCTGAACACGTAATAAACTGAAATCAACCGGTGTGGGAGGGAAGGGTCATTCGCCCAGCACCACTGTGGACCTGACACCGTGCTGGAAGCAAAGAGAATGCGAAGATTAAGTAAGAAGCAATCCTTGTTTTTCCAGAGCTCTTCACTGAAATGTGTCACTGAACTAGTTAGTTACTCAACCTTGGGTAAGTTACTAAGCCATCTGGGCCACAGTCTCCTCCGCTATCAGATGGGCTCCTCCTTCCCCAACCCCCTGGAGTGTGGCAAGGTTTCGTAAGGTAATCTTCCCGACAGTGCTCTGAAAAATTCATATGCCAACCAAGGCCACTAACAAAACCCTCTCGCATGCCACAGGTTTTGAATTGCTCTCAGCTTTTTTCTCTTGTCCCTATTTCCCACAATATATGACCCACCAACGCTATTATTCGAAAGCACAATACCAACTATTACCATTACATTTTCACTACCCCTATAGCTCGAATGGCGATTAGCAACATTCATTCATTTCAGACGTGCAAAAAAGAATGTATTTTTCCAACATTATCACCTATTCAACGGTGCATCTAAAACAGCAATGTCCTATACAACTATTTTCTGGTATATTACCAATGACAGTAACTACGTGATCAATTCCCACGTAGCACACGGTTCAGCTTTGGCTCTTGTGTGGCCTTCTCCCCAGAGCAGTTTCATTTAATATTTTCTAAGCACTGGACTCAGAAAATTCTAGACATTAGAGCTCACGGATCCTATTTTTGCAGGGGGACTCTGTAAACATAAAATGTCCTGGCTCCCCCCCTGGAATCCCATCCTCCCAACTTCTGCATCTTTTTTTCCTGAAACCGCTTCACCACCTGCCTCACATCAGAGTGGGGGTGGGGGGAGGGCGGGACTCGGTGCGATGGGGAGATTTCTCAGAAACGTATCGTTCCACCCTTTGCAGGATGCAAGCACGGGTTTGTGGGAAGATACAAAGGACAACAAAATCGAGACGGGGGCAGGTTTCGCTTTGCCCCGGGCAAGCCCGAGGAGTATTTCCCGGGCGCCTGGCGCACGCCAGGCAGGATGCCGGGGGCTCCGCGGGCGGGACGAGGCTCCCGGCCTCCAGCGGAGGCTGCGCCCGCGCACCGGGCCCGCGCACCGGCGTCTGTGGCTCGCGCGGGCAGGTGCGGCCGCGCCACGGCCGCCAGGTGGAGCGCAGCGCGCAGCCGCCCCCGGTGCCGGGCAGCTCGGCCGGCGACGCGCGAGCTTCCGGCAAAGCGAAAAGCGAGACGAAAGCCCGGGCGCGGCTGCGCTGCGGGAGGCGGCACTGCGGGGCCCCCGCCGGCCCCCACCGCGAGGAAGCCCCCGAGCGGCCCGGGGTCCCGCTGCCTGGGGCCTGCGATGCGGCGGCGCCCAAGGGCGGGGGTCCGCGCGCCAGGCGGGATGCGGGGACCGGGGAGGCCCCCGCGCTGGCCGGGTGGGGGCGGGCGGGGGTCGCGGTGCGGGGCCCGGAAGGTGTGCGCGGGGGAGGGTCTGCGGGCCGGGCGCGGCGCCCGGGGGAGGAAGGACGGGGTCTCCTCCCGGATGAACAAGCGCCCCCACCCTGCCGCCCCGCGCGCGTCTCACCCTCGGCGCGCGAGCGCAGCTCCGACACCGTCCTGCGCATGGGGGGCATCGCGGCGGCCCCGCCGCACCTGTCACCGCGCGGCGCGGAGCGATCGGCCCCGCACGCCGCGGCGCGACGACGAGGAGGAGGAGGAGGAGGAAGGCGGCGGCGTCCGCGGCGCCCGGCGAGCTCTCCCGGCGCGGGGCGGAGCGCGGGGTGGGGGAGGGGCCCGGGGCGGGGACCCGGCGCCCGCCCCGCCCCGCCCCGCCGTGGACCGTACCACTCGGCGGGGGGGTCCGCGACCAGCCGCCTCTGCGTGCGGCTGTCTCCCAAGGCGTCCGCGACTCCCCCAGGCTCGGCCGGGGAGGAAAGGGCGGTCTGGGTGCTGCTTCCCCGCGTGTCCCCTCCGGCCACCGCCCGGCCACCTCCGGTTGTCGACAGCGATGGACCCGCCCGTCGTCCGGAGGGGTGCGGGGTCTGGGGGGGCAGGCGACGGCGACGGGTCCCCCCAGTCGCGGGGCTCGGGCGGCTGCGAGCGGGCCCAGTGCGTCGCCCCAGCTCTCGCTGCAGCCTGGCGGGGCTCTGGAACTGCCATGGAATCGACTGACTCGGCCCAGGTGGTTCACACAGAACTTCTGTGGTTTTGCATGTTTGCTTTTAGTCAAACCTGCAGAAAGTTGGTTGCAGTAGTTTTATCTGGAAAGGGGAGAGGGGTCTTAGCATAAAATCCGTAAATGTATTAGATTATAATTTGCCCCCTCTCCTAGAGACCATCATAACAAAATGTACACCTGGATCTACGCTAACAGGTTGTCCAGACAAGCACGGTATTTTTCACTGCTGCTGACATCACCTTCGAGTGAAGATGGAAGGTTTTGTGTAGATTCTGGTGACCTGCTGAGCTGGCAAGAGAGGTAGAAAGTAGAAGCAATTAATAAATTAGAAACAATTTGCCTCTTCCCTCGTCTCTGCTCTTCCTCCCCACCCAATGGAAGAAGGCCTCACATGGAGGCCTTTTATATGAGCTCCTTTGAGATAGATCCTGAAGGGAAAGAAAGATCTGGAGAGGTTTGACCCGAGGGAGAAGTGATTGTTACCAAGCCTCAGGAAAAAATGAAATAAAATCTGCTAATAGCATCCTATCTCCATTTGTGGCGTTTCCCCTGCTTCCTGCAGGTAGCATTAGCTCATCCCGGCCCTGCCCTACATTAATACTCAGTCAATGCATATTTATGAAGAGCCCACTCTGCTTGCCCCTGATTCAGAGGCTGGGATTAGAACAAAGAAAATGTATCCTCAGTGTTCACGGAACATCTCAGGGTAAAGCAGGACTCAAATATAAATGTATCTGTGTCAGTGATGGGCATGACTTCAAAGTATGCTCTTCTAGACATAAAAAATGGATGCGGCCTTTTTAGGATTCTCGTCACCGGCTCTTTGTATTTCTACCCTGTCCCGGGATCCCCTTGTCTAAAGCAGGCTTCCTCTGGCCTAATGAGCGTGAGTCCGGAACCAAATTAAGTAAGCAAGGAAATAAAAGAAATAGTAAAAAAAAAAATAAACAACAACAACAAAAAAACAGCTTTAAAGTGAAAAAAAAAGCAGTGCTTTTCTGTTAACATTTTAGGTGTAATTTTATGTAAAGCTGGAATCATCAGTTTTTATTCAAAATCAGCGCTCAGCAGAATGACAGCATTTGATTTATGAACAATCACCTTTGCAATTCCTAATGAGCCTTCAAATAAGGTTCAATTCTGCTTATTTATAAATAGCAATTAACTGAAGGGAGTTCCAGAGGTTACCTCTGTTTGCTGCAGGACAAACCATTTTATGCACGTGTGTCCCATTAGCAACCAGCAAAGCTGAAAACGTGTCATTCATACGGGAAGTGACGAGTCTTCCATACAGAGAAGACTGTTGCATGATACAGTCTATAGATCACCATGTGTCCTTTACCATATTATGTTATCACAAGAGAATCCTAACTGCCTCATTTATGAAAAACCACTCATTCCTGATGGCTGGACGTCACACACATTGTTATTGGCTCAGAAACTTGATTGAGGTTGTGTATTGCACTAATCTGCATTCACTTGATTTAAAAGCTCTGAGATCTTCTCACCTTCCATTGTGCCAGAAGTGCAGTCTGCCAACCCCTGGCAGGGAACTCTGGTTCCAGCAACATGACCTTGTTACAGAATCTGTATAGAATTCAGCTGTCAGCAAGATCATTAAAGAACTTTCAGGTCCTGTGACTACACTGATGGTGGTCTTAGAAGGAAGAGGGTTATTCAAGAACAACTTCTGCAGGGACCAGGTTGTATCATCCTCCACAAAATATGCGTTGAATGCATAACACGTGTGTCGTGCTGAGCCGGAGAACTAGGTTACAGGGGCACTCGATGAAACCCAACCAGAGGTGCAACAAGGTGGCTGACACTCCATGCCAAATAGACAAGCAGCAGCAACCGCAGACATTGAGAGAAGAGGAGATTCTGAGAGCTGGGGTGACCAACATTGTTGGGCTAGATCTTGAAGTAGAGGTTAAATCTATAGAAATGAACAGGAGACCTCTTTCCAGGTAGAAATGCTGGGCATATATTAAATACTTGATAATGATTATTTAAAGATTGCTTAAGGTCATTACGGTGACAGAAGAGCATATACGTTTGGGAGGAACAAAGAGACGTGATTTGACTACAATAAAGGTTTTCATCGGGATTCGAGGCATGGGAGCTAAAGGGCGCTAAGATTCGGAAGAGTCTTAAATGTCATATAAGGGATATATATATATTTTTTCTAATGAGTCTTCTCAACAAGTGATGTCCCAATATGCCCACTTGCCAGCATTTTTATGACATTTTCCCTTGAATTTTGCCACGAAATCTTCCTCAACTTTACTCACTAAATTATGCTCTAAGGTAATGAGCATTGCATGGCAAATGTTTACTACATCCCCAGTAACTGTGCCCCATAGGAATGAATGGAAAAGGATGTCTTTGGCTTTCCCTTGGAGTTAGCACGGCTTGAGTTGTTGAGTAATTAGAGAAAATAAAACGTGTATGAAGGCCGGGCGCGGTGGCTCACGCCTGTAATCCTAGCTCTCTGGGAGGCTGAGGCGGGCGGATTGTTTGAGCTCAGGAGTTCGAGACCAGCCTGTCTCTACTAAAAAAATAGAAAGAAATTATCTGGACAACTAAAAATATATATAGAAAAAATTAGGCGGGCATGGTGGCACATACCTGTAGTCCCAGCTACTCGGGAGGCTGAGGCAGGAGGATCGCTTGAGCCCAGGAGTTTGAGGTTGCTGTGAGCTAGGCTGACGCCATGGCACTCACTCTAGCCCAGGCAACACAGTGAGACTCTGTCTCAAAAAAAAAAAAAACACGTGTACGAAGACAGCCACTCTGTTCTACAGTCGTAGCAGGATGTGGACCTCAGTGGAACTTGATTGTCCCAAGGACCCAGGTTTAAACTCCAGACAAATCGGAGGTGAGCGTCAGGTACCCAGAAGCAGGTGAATGGCAGCAGAAAGTACAAAGGAAGAAATACAACAACAGCAAAAAATGACGGCGTTACTGCTAGGGCTAAGCAGACTAGAAATCAGGTTTCCTTGTCAAGACAATTAAATAGGAGAAAGAATAGTCTTCTCAACAAATGTTGGGACAACTGGAGGTTCACATGCCAAAGAATGAAGTTGGACCCCTACCTCATACAAAAATGAACTCAAAATGGATCAAAGACCCAAATGTAAAAGTTAAAACTCTTAGGAGAAAAACAGTAAATCTTCGTAAACTTAGATAATGGTTTCCTACATAGGACACCAAAATCACAACAAAAGAAAAAATAGACAAACTGTACATCAAAATTAAAAACTTTTGTGCTTCAAAGGATGCCATCAAGAAAGTGAAAAACAAGCCACAGAATGGTAGAAAACTATTGTAAATCATATATCTGAGAAACTGCTTGTACCTAGAATATATAAAGAACGATTACAACAATAATAAAAGGACAAATAACCCAGTTTTAACATGGACAAAGCATGTGGATAGTCATTTCTCCAAAGAAGATACTAAAGTGGCCGATAAGCTTATGAAAAGATGCTCAGCATTGTTAGCCATTAGGGAAATGCAAATAAAAATCAGGAGATAACCGAGATACTGATTCATACCTCCGAGAATGGCTACAATCAAAAAGACAGATAGTAACAAGTATTGGCAAGGATGTGGAGAAGCTGGGACACTCATACTGCTGGTGGAAACATAAATGGTGCAGCTGCTTTGGAAAACAGTCCGGCAAATTCCTCAATGGTTAAACATGGAGCTACCACATGATCCAGCAATTACACTCTTAGGTGTACACCTAAGAAAAATAAAAACATGGCCATGCAGAAACTTGTACATGCGTGTTACATGATTCATAATAGCCCCAAAGGAGAAACTGCCCAAATCTCCATCAATTTTTGATAGATAAATAAGATGCAGTATATCCACACAGTGGAATATTATTCTACAATAAAAAGTAGTAAGATACTACATGCTACAACATCTCGTTCATGTTACATCCCGTACAATTTCAGAGAGGAAAAGCGACAGCAATAATGAGGCAAAAAGTATTAGAGGGGAAAAAGTCCAGAATTTTTACTAAAAATTGAGCATAGTAATCAATGAGATAAACATGATTCTCAAATACAGTTTTGCGATTCCATGACTTTTAATTTCGAAAGAATGCCAGGATAGTTTCCTGATTAATTGAAGTAACCCATAGCTTTCAAATGTGAAATATTTGCCAATTGTGTTTGGGCCTCTTGGATGATATAGCCTCTGCTTGGTGGTTCATAATTCACTGCAGCGCTTAGTAGATTTATTGGAAAATCATGGTATTTTTTTTCCCTCTGACCCCAAAACCTCTCAGAAACAACATCTGCTGGAAAGAGGGATCATTTATCACTGTAGATTCTTGCCAACTTTGAACTCTGAGGAAATCCACCAAATGGAGACAGAGAATCAATACTTAATCCAGGATTATACTTAGGTATTTACCCCAAAGAAAAGAAACTGAGGGAAGGGAGAGACACTTTAAAGACATAAAGGACGCAAAAGGAGGTTTGTG